TCTCTCCCCACATCTCGCGATATCTCAGCACAGCTCGGTTTGCAATGTCTGGAGGCGAGCGGCAGCGCATCTCTCCCCATATCTCCCCACATCTCCCCACACCTCGGCTTGCAATCTCCGGAGGCGAGCGGCAGCGCATCTCTCCCCATATCTCCCCACATCTCCCCACACCTCGGCTTGCAATCTCCGGAGGCGAGCGGCAGCGCATCTCTCCCCATATCTCCCCACATCTCCCCACACCTCGGCTTGCAATCTCCGGAGGCGAGCGGCAGCGCATCTCTCCCCATATCTCCCCACATCTCCCCACACCTCGGCTTGCAATCTCCGGAGGCGAGCGGCAGCGCATCTCTCCCCATATCTCCCCACATCTCCCCACACCTCGGCTTGCAATCTCCGGAGGCGAGCGGCAGCGCATCTCTCCCCATATCTCCCCACATCTCCCCACACCTCGGCTTGCAATCTCCGGAGGCGAGCGGCAGCGCATCTCTCCCCATATCTCCCCACATCTCCCCACACCTCGGCTTGCAATCTCCGGAGGCGAGCGGCAGCGCATCTCTCCCCATATCTCCCCACATCTCCCCACACCTCGGCTTGCAATCTCCGGAGGCGAGCGGCAGCGCATCTCTCCCCATATCTCCCCACATCTCCCCACACCTCGGCTTGCAATCTCCGGAGGCGAGCGGCAGCGCATCTCTCCCCATATCTCCCCACATCTCCCCACACCTCGGCTTGCAATCTCCGGAGGCGAGCGGCAGCGCATCTCTCCCCATATCTCCCCACATCTCCCCACACCTCGGCTTGCAATCTCCGGAGGCGAGCGGCAGCGCATCTCTCCCCATATCTCCCCACATCTCCCCACACCTCGGCTTGCAATCTCCGGAGGCGAGCGGCAGCGCATCTCTCCCCATATCTCCCCACATCTCCCCACACCTCGGCTTGCAATCTCCGGAGGCGAGCGGCAGCGCATCTCTCCCCATATCTCCCCACATCTCCCCACACCTCGGCTTGCAATCTCCGGAGGCGAGCGGCAGCGCATCTCTCCCCATATCTCCCCACATCTCCCCACACCTCGGCTTGCAATCTCCGGAGGCGAGCGGCAGCGCATCTCTCCCCATATCTCCCCACATCTCCCCACACCTCGGCTTGCAATCTCCGGAGGCGAGCGGCAGCGCATCTCTCCCCATATCTCCCCACATCTCCCCACACCTCGGCTTGCAATCTCCGGAGGCGAGCGGCAGCGCATCTCTCCCCATCTCTCCCCACATCTCCCCACACCTCGGCTTGCAATCTCCGGAGGCGAGCGGCAGCGCGTCGCGATCGCGCGCGCACTGCTGACGACGCCGACGGTGCTGCTCTGAGAAGAGCCAGCTTCGTTCCTTCATTCATGCATTCATTCGTTCAGTATTCAATTAGGTGGTGCTCTGCGATGAGCCAACCTCGGCGCTCGACCCGGTGACAGAGGCGTCCGTGCAGGCCGTGCTCGACGAAGCCCTCGCCAACCTCACCGTACCTGTGAACAGCGTCTCTTCACACCTCGAGCTGTGAACAGGCCGTGCTCGATGAGGCCTTCGCCAACGTCACCGTGCTCACCGTGGCTCACCGGCTGCGGTCGGTGATGGACTACGACCAGATCCTGGTCATGCAGCAGGGGCGGCTGGTCGAGCGCGGGACGCACGCGGCGCTGCTCTGCGCAAACGGCACCTACGCTCGGCTGTGGCAGCGGCAGGCGGACGGCGGCGGCGATGGGGCGGACGCGTTTTGGCGCGACGGCATCCCCGACTACTGCGAGCTCGTCGACTCGGAGTCGATCGCGCGCTTGGCGATGGGCGACGTCGAGGACGCTCTCACCCTGCGGGCGCTGGACAGCGTGGACGGGAGGGGGCAGGGCCGCGGCGGGTGGCTCTGGTGAGAGTGCCTGAGAGGGAGAATAGGCTTATGTCGACGAACATTTTAGCCTGGCGCCGATGAGGAAAGATGATGTATGTAAAAAGGTGAGGGCAAAGATTTCGTCAGGCAGAGAGAGGGGCAGGAACAACGGGAAAGGAATCGGAATCGGAAAGGCATATCCCTATTGTTTAGGGGCCCGATCAACTCACTGCGTGACTTGAGGCGACACCACGAACCGCCGTGCCCGTGCCCGTGTGCTAGATGGCTCGGGAGATAGGCGTTGACGTCAAGTTGTAGGCGGCCACCGCAAATCCCCACCGCATGCAGTTGGTCGGGCGGCACTGATGTGCAAGCCACGGTCGAGCGCCTGTCTTGCACTCGGCTGGCCCCGGCGTACGCATGCAGGGATTCCTGGGGCTGGGGGCGTCGTAGGGGCCCCACTGCTCAAGACGATGTAGTGTGCCATGACGAACAAGCTGGTCCAACGCCTGGCCCGGTGGCAGTGCGATGTCATCGACCACGACGATGCTCTGAGGTGTGGCGAACGCCTTCAAGCGACGCATGTCCCTCAAGGCCCCCTCGAAGGTGTGATCACCGTCGACGAGGATTAGGTCGCATGTGACATTGAAGACGCTGGCCGTGAGCGTTCTTCGCGTATCGCCGGCGTGGAAGTTGACTCGATGGCCGAAGCGCGTGCAGATCAGTGACCGGGCGGCTGTACTTGAACTTCATTAGGTCCCAGCTGTGCACTATGAGGTTGGCATTGGCCTCCAGCATTGCGGCGGTGCTGTGGCCGCCGTTCATGCCGATCTCGCAGTAAGTGCGCATCCCCGGCAGCCGCGCAAGGCTCAGCATGCGACGCACTTGGAACTCGCGAAGGTAGCCTGTTTGGTACCTCTCACTGATGTCGGCAGTCGCCATGACCGCATCAAGCAGATTCCACCAAGTAAAGACCGCAGCGGGAAGCTCGTCTTCGGTGGCGACAAAGCGTGGCTGGCCGATGCGAGCCTCAACAAGCCGCGGGCGAAACGTTGACAAGGCCGCGTCGAGCTCACGCATATTGAAAACAGTAGGGTCGCGTCCTCCGATTTCCGTCAACTCAGCATCCACAGACCATACCCTTTACTCGTCTTAAATTCGGTAGTGGATCTGTGATGTGGGAAAGCAGCGAACCCGGCCACCCACAACGGCACCGCCCGCTTCCGCTTTTACCTGTGGGCCCAGCTGGGTGGGCCTAAGAATTCCCAAGCAAGCAAGAGAGAAGGGTCGCGGGGGAGTGGGAAAACTCAATTTTGACGCGAGACAAAGCAAACGCCAACGGCGCTGCAAATGGTGGGCAGTCGCCGCCGTTTTACGCAAAGGAAGGACCAGAAGAGAGGGAGGTAGCGAGATAGAAAGCGATCGCCTTTTGGATTCATACTACATACATACAGAAAAGAAAGAAAGAAAGAAAACAGACAACCCAAGGGAGGGATGGGAGGACGGCACACCGCCTCAATCCTCCACCACGCCAGCGCTGCATCGCGCCTTACCTACATATTCCACACAGTCGTATTCCGAAAGATGTTGTTGCATTTTCGGAGCTGCTCGCCGTCCGGTGAATCTGCGATAGCTTCTGTCGGAATGACGCAGTAGTTGGGACTAGCGCAAGCAAAGCAACCGGTATCAAACGTATGAAAACGCTTGTAGATCTGTTCGATTTGTGTTGGATTGCAGCTGCTTTTGTGTTTAAACGGTTGCACGTGGGAAGGATCGTCAACACAGGTCCAAGATCCCTCCCGCAAGCAGATCCCTCCGATTCCAAACGCCGGCTGGTGATGCTCGCACTTGTCATGGAGAATTCTAGCAGCATCAGTGTCATGCTCTTTCTCGAGGATTATGACCTGTTTGTTAGAGCATGGCGTTAGAGCATGGCTGATGTGTCCTGACCACCCTGCAGTGGTGTACGGGTAGTTGCAACCCTCGTTAATGGCTGCCTCAAATTTACAGGCCTGGTCCCACGGCCACCAGGTCGACTTCCCGCCTTGCCAGTATGTCGCGTTGGGATCATATGTCTTTGGGGGAGGCCAGCTGCTTAGAGCATAGCACTTGTCCAATTCGAGAAAGAGGGCAGTAACATTGTGCCCGCGCCGAAAAGTCATCTCTGTCTCGATAAAGAAGGAATTGAACGCGAACTCGTACTTCTCGTGCTGATCATGTGCGCAGTCACTGAGAAATTGAACGTTGGCGTGCACGATCGCACGAAGAAGGATGAACTGTGTAGCCATGAAATGGTAGGCCGCCACAGTCGGTTTGAAGTGATTGAGAAACTTGTCTCGCTTGTCATAGGTCGGTGGGAACTCGCCAGCTTTTGGCATACCAGTTGTGCATTCATCCGGAATGGCATCTGTACCCCCGCCCCCCGACGCCCACGGAAACGGAGAATGGCATTTCTTGTAACACTCGTCCTCGAACATAGGCAGACGTGAAAACTCTCGTTCGAGAAATGATGTGCCTCCATGAGTGCCGTCACCGACCATGCTCATCCATGCCGCCGCAACATCGGTTCCCCAAGTGTTCAATTCCAAGCGGTCTTGCGCGAAGACTTCGCCCCAACGCTCTCCAAAATCCGCCGGCGACGAGGACAATTGCCTCTGCTCGCCATAGGCTCTAATTTTTGCCTCGATAGCCTCCGTGATGGCCATGAACCTGAACTTATCCTGGTCGAGCTCGAACTTGCCGAGCGCACTTGTAACGGCTGCCTGAATCATCGCAAAAGTTAGAGGCGGCAGCCGATTCATCGTTTCATATTCGGGCTTATGAAACAGACTCATGAAGAGCCCCCCAACCGCACCGAGGAGAGCGAATACTGGCATTGCATAAGGCGCTGCCCCTCCCGCTACCAACATCAAAGGCACGATCGCGGTTGCAAGCTTGACAACGTTATCTGCGGTCTTCGTGTCGTCTGTGTGTTGATTGGCCAACTTTGTAGCTTCGTGTCCCGTGTTTGCAGCTGCAGCAGCTTCGCTAGGGCGATAATTCCGCAGCAATTCCGCTTCCGCTTGAGCTGCGGCACTGGCCACCGCGTGTGCCATCTCTTCCACATTCGGATTGATGTGGAGACGCTCCGCACAGGGCGGGGGTGGAGGCAGAGGAGGTGGTGCCGCAGGAGGAGGAGCGGTAGGTGGGACTGGCGGAGCCTCGGGAGGATGGGGGGGCGACGGCGGTGACGGCGGAGAGCCTGGCGGCGCTGGCGGCGGCGGCGGCGGGGAGGGTGGCGGCGCTGGCAAAGGCGGTGGGTTGGGCGACGGCGGAGCAGACGGGGGTGGCGGCCACGCGGTCCGTTGGCAGGCGTAATAGGGAGGGATGAATTCTGAGACCGGCAGATGCAAAAGGCGTGTCATATTGTGGGCCTTAAGCCTGCCGAGCCATTCGCTGACGTGCTCGCAGTCCTCGAGCGAGGTCAGCAGGATGTCACTCTCCACCCTGACCGATGCCTGCGCCACCCGTGTTACGACGCCCTCGGGTGCCACCTCGGTTTGCTGCTGGATGAGTCGCCGCAGGTCCTCACTGAATCTCGGGTGCCATTCATTGAAGACCTCTGGGCTTTCGATGCTCGAGTAAAAGGTCGAGGTAGTTGCAAAGAGAACGTCTCCGGTGCGGCTGGAGGTTGCGAAGACGAGGTGCGGCGGTGGGGGCGGGGGGTGGTCGCTGCGACGGCACTTGCCCGATCCGCAGACGCCGGCGACGACGCTGACACAGCCGAGCAGCCCGGCGAGAAGGAGGACGAGCCAGGCCAGGGGCAGTCGGTCCTTGAGCGGCGGCTTTGCTCGGTTCAGGTCCGGAGGACACGCTTCGTCCGGAGCGACTGGCGGCTCCATATCGGCACGCCGAGCACCACTCTTTGACAGCGGGCACCGCGGTGCCCGCTGTCAATCTGAAAATTCTCAATCTGGAAGCGCATCGGGCACCCAGATTTTGCCCGGATCAAAACCCGTCCTTGGCTGCGAGCTCTACGAGCCGTCCCTCTGGGCTCCGTGGCGACCAAGGTCCCTCTGGGCTCCGGGTTCGGCGACCTCGTGTACGCCACGGTCCCTCTGGGCTCCGTGGCGACCAAGGTCGCCCGGGACTGGCTTGCCAACGAGCTCTACGAGCCGTCCCGGCGCGGCAAAATTGATGCGGCCTGCAGGGACCGAAAGGTCGCCGACCTGATCACGGCTGCCGGCGCCTCGGCGCCGGCCGACGCCGTGTTCGGCGGCAGGTTTGCGACGGGCGAGACGCCCCGCCCAACGACCTCCGCCTCCGAGGCGTCTGCCTGTGGACAGGTTGCACTCGCGGTGGTGGACGGCCTCGTGTCCCAGATGCGGAGCACAGACCCATATCTCCCCATATCTCCCCACATCTCGAGGTCCCAGATGCGGAGCACAGACCCCTTCCAATCGAGCCGACGGACAAGGGCGACGCGTCGGCGGCGATGGCGGGAACGGCGTCGAGTACTTTGACCTTTTCGAGCCGGACCCCACCCCCATGGAGGATCTCTGAGGTCCTCCCCAGTCTCACCCCACCTTACCTCTGCCCCCCTCCCCCCATCCCACCACTTGTGATTACGTTACGTTCTTGAGTCTCCACTAAGTACTGCTTCGTTGTCCGTCGTCTGCTGCTGTACAATTCTGGCCTCTTCTCCGTCGCAAGGGCCCCGCCCCCAGGAGGGGGGGGCGGGGCCCGCGCAGGGGACTTAGTCTTTTTTTATGTGCGAAAGTTGCCCGATATTTCATCGGACGTCCAGGTGGCTGAGAGTGAAGCCACACATAATGCGCCGCGCGACGTCTCGATTCCTCTCGTGCGCCGCCGCCGCCGCTTGGACGCGTGAGGCGGCGCACGGCAGCGCCGACCCGCCGCCGCCGGATGAGCATACCACTCGGCAACTCGTCAAGCGGTGGACGGCGCAAGAGGAGAGGCCAGGCTACGCGCCTCCGTCACAGAACTGGCCTCCCCCCAGCCGCTCTGACTTCGCCACGCTGCGCCGCGCCTTCACCGCGTGCGGTGCTGAAAGCTTTGATCCCGGACACCACTGCGGCGAGGTAGCTTTCCAGTACGCGACGTCTCTTCTCGGTGGCACTCTCTGCGGGCACATCGAGTCAGAGAGAGAGCCGAGCGAAGAGGAGATCTCGGAGGGCATCGGCTTGATGAAGCGGCTCGCGGCCTCTGGCATGCCCTCGGCCGCGTGCGGGATGGCCTACATCCTCTCCTGCGGCATCCTCGCTGAGGAGGACGAGGAGGCGGCGGTTCGCTACCACCAGCAGGCGGCTTCCGCTGGCTTTGCGCAGTCGATGCAAGAGATCGCCATCATGCACTACCTGGGCGACCCTCTGCCGCAGGACGCGGCGGCGGCGGTGCGTTACTACCGCCAGGCCGCCCTGCTGGGCCTATCGCAGTCCATGTTCATGATGGGAGAGTGCCTGCTCAGCGGCGAGGGAATCGCACAAGACACGGCCTCGGCTCTTGGCTGGTTTGCGGCCGCCGGCGAGCTTGGGCACTGCAGTGCGCGTTCCCGCATCCGGGAGGTCGCGGAGCGCGACATCCCTGTCAACGTGAGCTCCTTGATGGAAGAGGTGTGAGCGAAAGTGCGCGCGCCTGGTGGTACGGCTCAGCCTTCTCCGAGAGGAGGGTCTTCGTTAGTGCCAGTGCGCGCCAGTCCCGTGCCCTGTGTCGTGCGAGGGAGTTTCGTTGTAAAGTTCTTTAGGCCCACAGGTAAACGCGCAAGCGGGCGGTGCCGTTGTGGGTGGCCGGGTAAATTACTTTCCCATCAGATCCACTACCGAATAAGACGAGTGTACACACCCCGCGGCTCGCCGAGGGGGGGAGGGATGTCGTGTCGGGCCCAAGCATGTGGCCGAGTGTGTGAGCTGTGGAGTACGTTTACCTTAAAGCCGCGACCTGCACTGCTGTGGCTACTGTACTGTATACGTAGGACTACTTCACTACTCGGTAGACATGGCACAGACATGCACAACAGACATGTAGCATGTGCATGTGCATGTGCATGTGCATGTGCATGTGGCTTCCACATTTCCTCCACAGGAGTGCAGGTGACCCCTTTTAGAATAGCTTCGGCATCGCGTCCTTGATGAGCACTTGGCCAAAGATGCTGATGAGCAGAGTGCACGCGGCAACCAGCAGCGCGATGCGCCAATCCAGGAGGCCCCAAAGCTCCAAAGACCACCTCCACAGCGGCGCCCACCAGACCGTCGCCTGGGCGATCGTCGCGGCATCGAGGTCGGACTCGAGGAAGCCGCGCCAGGCGGTCGCCAGGGGCAGCACCGTCACGCGCGGGTCGCTTAGCGATCAGGTCATACACGTGCGCATTCGAAGCGTTGAAGAGTCGCTCGAGCCGCTGCGCGTCGGGCAGGTCAATATCGGCGGAGAGCGGCGGGTGCGAGTGCGAGTTCTTGCGCCTCGCCTGCCCGACCTTGATCTGAATCGCAGCGACTGTGGCGCCTGTCACGAGGCACGCGCCCGACTCGGCCTGCTCGGACCTTCCGGCGGCGCGCAAGTCGACGAGGCAGCGGAGCTCGCGGAGCGTCGTCTCCGGGTGTTGGCCGTACAGGCACCGCGAGAATGTACAGGCGGCCGACCGCGTCGACCCAGTCGTCGAGCTGCGGGCCAAACTGCCCCCACGCGTAGTATACGTCGTCGTGCAGCCTGTCCGCTGCGATATCTCGTCGAACTTTTTCGCGGAACGTGATGCTGTCGGGTTCGTACATGTTCCATGTACGAGCCCACAAGTCCAGCCACGAAAGTGGTACAGCGTAAGCAAGAGCTGCCTCTGGGAGTCACGGCGCTCGTTTACCGGCAGTCCTGCACGTTTACCTTAAAAACATTCCCTGTACTGAGCGTATAACGCATCACACAAGCCGCAGTACACAACTCATCTGACTCGTGAGAGACGGAGTACGGGTTTAGCGTTCCTTGTGATCCTTCTGATCGGGCTCACGCCCCGCAAATCGCCTCCTCAACCAGAGCCGCCGGAACACCGCCGGCGCCTTGCACCGTCCACAGTGCGCGGAACACACCCGCCGCGCTGGCCGCCCGCCCAAGCGCGCCCGGCACGCCCTGCGCCTTCTCCACTGCACCGTACACCGTGCCGCCCACGTTCTGCGCCAGCCAGCTGCCCATGTCCCGCACGCCTCCGCCGCCAAAGGTCCACAGGAAGTGGCCGTCAACCCCGGCGTCATCGTACAGGCGGGCCACCGTCTCGGCAATCACCGCCAGCACCGCCCCGAGCTCCCCGCCGCCGTAGCCAGCCTTGCGGCCCGCAGACGAAGCGCCAGCGAGCGCCCACTCCCCGACCAGGACGCGGTTGCCTGTTCACAGCTGGAGAGGCGTGGAGCGTCGGCGAGGCAGCCCTGCTGGCTGAGTGTCGTGTCTGTGTGCCCGTGTCCCTCCCGCTCCATGTGAGACCCGTCTCCCCGTCGCTTTCGGGAGGGGGGGGGGGGGGAGGGGGGGCTCGCCAGACGTGCATCTCCTCTCTCTCTCTACGCGGCTGCCTGACGCGACGAAAGCCTTGAGATACCGGACCTCGTTGTACGCGCGCAGCGTGAGCCTACGCCGCGCGCGCACAGAACGGTTGAGGCTGCGGACACACCGGCAGACACTGGGTGCGTGTGGGAGGAGGGAGGTCACACGTGAGGTATCTAGGGGTAGCACGTGAGAGGGCTGGTACACGTGAGAGGGGGGTGGTACATCAGTGAGGTACCTAGATACCTCGCAAGTGGCGCCGAGCGACGCATCGCCCTCGTGCGTCTTGCGCGCCACGGAGAGGTACGCACAAGGGGTGCCCGTGCGTAGCTCCAGCCGAGCCCGCGTCGTTTCTACTGCGCACGCGGTACGGGCAGTGCCGCGTCCACGCATCTAAGCAGCAGCGAGCCGGCACATCTGCCCCGCCCGCCCTGTCCTCGGGGCGGGCAGGGGAGCGGGTGGCAATGCTGGAGTGGCCTCGTTGTAGGCCGGCTCTGCGCAACGCACGCACGAGGCGGGGCAAGGTGAGGCGGGGCCGAGGGGTGGCGGAGACAGCTGCACAGGCAGAGTGGCGCGCCGCTGGCGTCCGTGACGCTGGCGTCCGTGACGCTGGCGTCCGTGACGCTGCTCATGCCCCACCCGCCGAGGGCAGGGTCGCCGGGCGGGGTGGGTGGGTCGCCAAAGGAGCAGCGCGGCCTGAAGAGAGGACGTGCCGACGGCGTAACACCGAAGGTGGAGGTCCCGCACCGTGCCCGGCGGCGAACAAGGCTCCATCTCGGCTAGGCCTCGGGCTCCGTCTCGGCTAGACCTCGCGTCCACTCGGGCGAGTTCGTGTTGCACACGTAGACGTGCGTGTCCCAAACCACCTGGCGCGGCGAGGTCGGCCGAGATGAGCCCCGAGGTCCGCTCGAGAGGTGCCGCCGTGTCCGAAGCGCCACCTTCCCAAACGTCGAGTGGTCAGAGCCAAAGTCGAGCCACGGCTCCGCCCGCATCCGCTCGCTCCACGTGGGCAACTGCCTACGCTCGAGACACTCTCCCACTGGGCTCGGCCGACCTCGCTGAACCTCCTCCCCTCTTGACCAAGGAGGCGTCTGCCACGGCCACGCAAAGGGCACAACCGCAACCTCCTTCGGCAACCCCCTCGCTCTCATCCTGCGGATCGCTCCGTCGTACCACAGCATCAGGTCGGTGTACCCCTCCGTCGCCTCGGGCGTGTACGAGGCCGGCCTGCGGCAGCAACCAGTTGAGCCAATTAGCACTCGGCATATGAGTCGGTCTTTCGTTGGTCGTGTGCGGCATGCCTGCCGGAGCGCGCGGCTCCCGCGCCGCGGCGGAAGGCGGGGAAGGCGATCCGGTTGTTTTCGTTTGTGATCTGGACGCCCCAGAGCACGTCCCGCAGGTGAGGCGTCGTCTGGAGAGAGGCGCACAGGCTGACCATCGCCTCCACCGTTCGCCAGCCCAACTTCCAGTTGGCGTCCGACGCAAAGTGGGCACGTTCGGCGCGAGCGTAGGTGCTTTTGTTGCTGCTCTCGCGCATCCCGCTGTGCATCTCTCCGTTCTGGGAGCCGGGCAGCCCGTGCAAGTCAAGGAGAAGGCGCACCCCGAACTCGGCCGCAAGCCGAAAGAGCCGCTTGAAGTGGACCGCATACTCGGGGGGACTCATCAGCTCGTGCAGCCTCCGCATCAGCGCGAGGTCGACCTCCGAGACGGGCGTCGGCTCGCCTACGGGCAATCGGCGCATCTCGCGAGGTTCCTCCGAGACCGGCGTCGGGCGCCCATGTCCACTTCGGCTAATCTCGGCTCATCTCGGCTCATCTCGGCTAATCTCGGCTAATCTCGGCTAATCTCGGGGGCTCGCCCATGTCCATCGAGCTCAGCTCGGTCGCGTTGAGAAAGTTCCAATACCCGACCGGCACGCGCACGACGCCCACGCCTAGTGTAGGAGCTCGCGATGACGCGAGCAAAAAAAAGAGGGAAGTCAAGCAGCCGCGCGCGCCATACGCTGCCAGAGCGGCGAAGTTTGCGCGGGAGATGCGCGATGAGAGGTGCGACTCCATCTGCCCCTTTGTCAAGTTGGACATGTGCCACCGCCACGGATTCTCGGGCGTGTCGTAGGACCGCCGCTCCGCCGCCGTCATCCCATCCCAAAGCCAGTCCTCGATGAGAAAAGCGGACCCCAGGTTGATCCATCCCGTCTGCGAGAGAGGAGACGCGCCGCTGAGGCCATCCACCAGAGCCGGCTCAGCACCGAGAGGCCGCCGAGCGAGGAAGGTGAGGCAGGCGGTCGCCGCTGCCACAATAGTTCCGACGCCCGTGGCGAGCCAGCGGCGGCCCATGAGCTTCTTCTTCCGCGCCTCGGCCGAGCGCAGGTCGGTCTGGACTGCCATTGCGCCCATCGTCGACATGGCGCCCCCGGCCGTGGGAGGGTGTGCACGCGGGGGCTGGGCGTCGGCGAGCGAGGTGTAAATGGTTACCCTGTTCGTGACGAAAGTCGTGACGTCGGCTTTGCCGTCCGGCTTTGCTCAGAGCCGGCGGCCTCTAAACTAAAAAAAATGGGCGGGGGGGGGGAAAGAGACGGAGAGGAGAGTCGTTGAGCCTTGGCACCAGCCGGGCAGTGGGTTTGGCCCTGGCATCAGCCGGGCATGTTGTTGATTTGGCCTTGGCATCAGCCCTGGCAGGCGGGCACGCGGGACATGCACAGGCGCCAAGGGGCGCAGAACCGACCTAACCCGTCGGAGGTGGGGGGAAGGGAGTACCGCCGGGTTCCCCTGCGTGAGCGCAAGAGTAACCCCGAGAGGGCTGAAGATGAGCGGTGCGCGCAGGGGTCGGCGTGACGGGGCGAGGGACGCGCCGCGCGGGGCGCCGCCTCTGCGTTGTTGAGCCAGGACTCAACATACTCGGGCTCGTAATCCCAAACTGTCACTCCCCTTTCTCCCGGCCGGGGTGGGGCGCGCGCGGGGGCGGCGGGTGTGCGGCGGGTGTGAGGGATGTCTGTGAGCCCGAGAGCGATATGCCATGTCCGCCTTGCGTTTGTTTTCATAACATCGAAGGCTAAGCTAAAAAAAATCCAGAAAAATGCCGATCATCCGGCCCGCTGGGTGCGCTTCTTAGCTCCCCGGCCCTGGATGTGAGGTTACTGACTGCACTCGAAGTGCTCCAAGTGCTCACGGCGGAGGGCCTTACCAACCACGCGCTTTATTGCCCTAGCCTTGGCGGAGGTGGTTGGTGATGGATGGTGGTGGTGATGGGGTGGTGGTGGTGGTGGTGGTGAGTTTGAGAGCGCGAGCGAGTGAGCGAGTGAGTCCGCGTGCGCCTCGCCCTCGGCGTGGAACATGCGCTGCCCGGCGCACGACGTGATGAAGAAGGGGAGCGCCGCCTCCACGCCCAGCCAGTATCCAGGTCGAGAGGTCGAGGTCTGCGTGGCCGATCCCGTGAAGGCAAGCGTGCCGCAGCTCGACGTTCGGCGATTCACATTCATGCGGGAGCGACCCTCGCGGCCTGCCGGCGAACGTCCGTCCGGCGAGAACGCGCGATGAAAGTGCGGTCTGCCGCGCGGGCGAAATCTGCCGGTGAGAGAGGCTGTTGAGCGCGGTCGCTGTGGGCTTCACCTCATGCCATTTCCGTGCGAGGTGCGCTCCGTGTCTTTTATGAGATCAAATGAACGTCTTTACACACTCATCGGGCGGCACCGCTCACTGCAGAGCGCCGCCCTCTCGCGGCTCTCGAGAGCGAGTTTTCGCCAGACAGCCATAGGTCCCTGATGACGCGTCTTCTCGCCGGACAGACGTTCGCCGGCAGGCCGCGAGCGGGCATCTGCCGGCGCTCGTCTGCCAAAGTGGCAGACGCGTCTACCGCGGTCTACCAAGTCTACCGGTAGACTGGTGTCGTAGGTTCATTACGGTCTACCGGTAGACTGCGGTAGACTCGTGGTAGACTCGTCTACCAAATGGTCTACCGTCTACCCCCGTCTACCCCAGTCTACCGGTAGACGGTAGACGGGCCACCCCTCAGCTGATACCGCCGCACGGAGAGGGCTGGATTCGGGACAAGGGCTTGGTTTCTAGGATCTAGCTTGGTTTGGGCCCCATCACATGGGCCGAGGAGACCGGTCTGCCCACCCACTCACCACACAAGGAGGGCCGAATGATAAACACAAATAAAGGGAGCCCGACATGTGTACACTCAAATGGGTCCAACCCCGCCGGGCACCGCCTCGGGATACAAAATCTATAGCTGCGGGCCTCACAGCTCACAGCTCACAGCTCACAGCTCACAACATTCACAGCACACAAATCGCTCAATGGCACAGTCGCGGCCGCAACGGGGCACAAACGCTACACGCACACAGAGAGCACAGGTAGTAACGCAGAGGAGTCTACGTACCATGGTACACCCCTGTGCCGGATCGGCATAACTAAGCCAGCCCACCGGCCGAGTCGAACAAGTAGTGCGTGTCCCGCTCAACCTCCATCAAGGAATGGGCAGTGTTGATGGAGGCGAGAGGCAAGGGCTGACGCTAGCACCGGTCCGGCAGGTGGCGTTTATTTTTGCTGCTGCAGTCACTGTCGCGGCGTCTCTGGAGGCTCCGAAAAAAAGCGCAGCGAGCGAGGAGGCCTCGCTGTGCGGCGTGCCCAGCACCTGCAGCGCCGCACTCGCCGCCGAAGCGAGATTGGCCAGGCTCGGTGAGCCAGCCCAAAGTGCCCAGGCCCTGCCACCACACCCCGATCTGTAACAGTCCTTAACTACGAGCCTCCAGTTGGCGCGGTAGAAGAACATGTCCAAGAGGTCGGAGCCAGAGCTGCCAGTGCGTTGCAGGTGTTCGCGTTTGCAAGTCGCACCGACGTCGACCGCTTCAATTGCCGTGAGTACGGCATCCGGGATCGTATCGAGCGCCGCCGCCGCCTCATCGGTGCTGAGCGCGCCATCGCTCCCGGAGAAGACCGACAGCTCGACGACGCACGCACGCTTGTCCTTCCCCGTCGTGTCCATTCCGCAGCCGTCGTTGGCGTAGGTTGCGAGAGCTTCGCACAGGTCGTCGACGGAGACCGAGGGATTGGGGGCGAATCCGACAACGGCGGGCAGTGAGAGCTGCAGCAGACCGATTCGTGCCAGCATATACCCAGGGGAGGCGGCGGACGGAGACGGAGGAGCGGGAAGCGGCGGACAGGAGAGGAGAGTTGAGGCCGTCGGCGGAGGAGGGTACAACCACGGAGAGGAGGCGGAGGGAAGATCCCTAGTACCTAGCCTACATTCCCCCCTGGTTCTCGAGGTTCTCGAGGTGGATATCCTTTGGCCGCGTTGGGTAGCGAGGATTGGTGTAACCCGAGCCACGGAGGCGTGTTTTCTGACGGCCGACCGTCAGTGCACGGAGTTGCTCCTTCTCCGACTGCCCCGGCTAGTTCCCGAGGTCGTCGGGTGTGACCCCTTCGTCCCCCGAGACCTAGCGCGGGTGGGTTGGAGGGGGCTCGCCCCGCTCCTCCCCATCGGGCCGCAAGAGCGGCCACGCCTCGCAGATTCGTTTCTCGCGCCTGGGTCAGGCGCGCGGGGCATCCCCCGGGTCGACCAGCGATCCGAAGAGTGGCCGCTATGCGAAGGAAAGAGTGGGGCCCTCGACGCCTCAGTCCGGCCCTCCGAGGGGGGAAGGGAATGGCGGGGTCCCCTCGGGCGCCTCAGTTCGGCCCTCCCGAGGGGGGGAGGGGAGCAAGGGGGTGGGGGGATCGGGGCGGTGGGGAGGGGTCTCGATTTCGTGTGGCTGATACTTGCCTTTCGGGGAGGGGCCTCCGTTCAAGCGCTCATCACAGGAGTGAGAGCTGCCTGACGTCTTCCCCCCCTCCCTCGAGGCAGCGAGTAGGCAGCGAGTGGGGGTGTCGAGCGCCTATAAGATGGTGTGTGATGGTGGCGGTCGCCTGTGTGAGAGGTGATTGGGGGGTGGGGGGGAGGGGTTGGGCGGCTGGTGGGCGGGCGGGCGGGGCGGGGTGAGGGGGGGGGGGGGGGGGGGATCGTATTTAGCGTCGGCAGCAGCGGCAGTAGTGGCAGCGGCAGCAGCTGCAGCCGCAGCCGCAGCCGCAGCAGAAGCAGCATCAGCAGCAGCAGCAGCAGCAGTAGTGGCAGCAGCAGCAGCAGCCAGCAGCAGCAGCCTCGCCTCCTGCGGTGTCTAGCTCTTTCAGTCTATCTAGGCGGCCGCGAGGTTAATATACAGAATAATGGTGTCAAAACACCGGGGGTGGTCGGCGCGCAGGCACCTGAGGGCGTCTTGCCGAGCGCGCAATCGGCTCGACGTCAACCCCTCCACAACACGAGACACTAGCACGCCGTAGCACGTCCTCCGACCCTCCCCGTGCTCGTCACTATCCACGCTCCCGCTCTCTCTTTCGCTCATCACTTCGCTGATGTGCTCCCATCGTGGACCCTCTCCCTCCTTTGGACTTTCTCCTCGTCTTCTTCCTTGCTGGTGGGGCACTGCTGCTTGCCTCGCCGCCTTCCGCCATCACGGTCGGCGCCTCGTCGTCGAGCGCCTCTTCTCGCTCGCGCCGCCCAAGGACCGTCTCGCCTCCTGGAGCACTGCTGCTCGCCTCGCCGCCTGTCGCCATCGCGGCTGGCGCCTCGTCGTCGAGCGCCTCCCCTCGTGCCCCCGGGCGGATCGAGTTGGACCCCTCCGCCTCGTCGAAGTCGTCGCAGATGCTCATCTCGTCCTCGTCGTCGCCGACTGGGTCGCATCGTGGGCTGCCGCCAGCGGTTGGGAGGTCCGCCTCCCCCTCGAGCTGCCTCTCCATTTCCACGTCGTCGCTGGTCGGCGCCGCCTCCTCCTCCGCTCGCTGCGCCTCCTTTGTGGCGCTCCTCCGGTTGAACCTCCGCCTCTGCCAGCGCCCTCCATTCTCTGGTCTGTCACTTGCCCCTCCCTCCTCCTCGCCCCCTCCGCTCTCTCGCCGCTCCCGCTCCTCGCTGGCCTCCGCCTCCTCCTCTCCGCGCAGCCTCCTCTCAATCGTCTGGCCTGCCATTCCGAGCGCATTCTTCCTCGCCGCCTCCTCTGCGGCGTGACCGTGCAGTACGTCCGATGTCGCATCGCCAGCATCCAAGATCTGTCTCTGCCTGTCGCTCACCACTCGCCCGTATCCCAGCGTAAGGGCGAGTTCTCCAAAGGGCCCTATCCTCGTCGCAAGCTCCAGCGGGTGTCGGTACGGTCGTCGTCCTCGTAGCCCATGGGACGGCTTAGGGTCTCCCTCGTCCTTTGTCGGGTCTCCGCTAGCCTCTGCCTCGTCGCCGACTGTGTCTTGGAAGGCGTCGTCTTCCCCCTCGCACTCACAGGCTTCGCTGTCGTCCGCGCTGCCCTCCAGCTGCTCGTTGGGCGGGTCGTCGCTCGTGCCTCGGGCCGCTGCTCCGTCACTTCCCCCCTCTGCGCTCGCGCCTTCCGAGGACGGCCCCGCTCCTCTCGCCGCCTCCGTGCTCCGCTTCTGTGCCAGGGCCGTGACCTGCCGTATGATGGACTCCGCGTGGCATCGGCTCGGGCGGCAGACACAGCCAAGGCGAACGTCATACCCTTTCCTCAGCAAGTCGGCCAGTCGCGCTAGCTCGTTCCACCTCTCGCCGGGTTTGGTGTTCGGTCGCCTGTTTGTCGGGTCTGGCCTGAGTCTGCCCTCAAGCTTGGTCTGCTCGGCCGCCCATATCTCCGTCTTAGCGTCGTCGTCCCTGCCCTCGGTGTCGACAATCTTGGAAGAAGAAACGGACTGTCACGATAAGATGGAGAGCGTAGGATTTGTCGGTGATCTCGCTATCACATGGGAGCGGGAGCTAATGCACGCGCAAGGCGTGAGACGGCAAGCGGCGTCCTTCCGAGAGTGGCTAGAACACCGCAGAAGACTAGGTAGTTCGGGGCCGGAGGCAGCGCAGAGGGTTTACGAGGTGTGAACGTGAACAGAGTAGCCAGATCGCTGTCGATCGTTACGGCACGCATGGGGGGCCTCCCGGACGTATGATCCAAGCCCAATAAGCTCCACGGAGCAGATTTGGATTTTTGACAGAATTAAATGCACTGCCCCCGCTCGGTACTAATAGTCGTAGTTTTGGGGGCGGCGCCCCTCACGGCACCACACTGACGCCGGACAGCCCGAGATTAGCCTAGCAGTGAGTGGGAATCGCCTGCCGGTCGGCTTGGCACGAGCCAAGCACTTGGGCGGCCGTCAACCGAGTCCGAGCGGCGCCTGAGGTGGGTGCCACGGCGTCCGCACGAAGGCGTGGCGGGGTGAGGAGCCAGGGGTGGTGAACACCTCCATGACGGGCGCGCGGCGCGCCGGATGGTCCGCCGAGGCCGCCGCCGCCCCGGCGGCGGCGATGGGGGCGGCGGGGCCGACCCGGCCGGCGTTTGTCGGCTCCACCTACAGAAGAGCAGTCTCTGTGGGTCGACGATACTAACTCGGTAGTAACGCTGAGCGGTGCTGTGCGACGCCGCGTCGTGCGCGAGGCGACCTCCTGGGGCTACCTGGGCTGGCAATGGATGCCACCAGGACGCACGGCTAGCAGGAGCCAGTCGGGCATGCCCTGCTGTGGAGCAGAGCCTGCTGGCGCACCGGCGATACTAACTCAGCGCGCCGAGAGAGGCAAATCTGGGCGACTTTGGAGGCGCAGTTCTCGAGCTTGCCGTCGACGATTGATGTCGGGTAAATTGTCACTGCCGTCCGGGAAGGTCTTCTCTCAGCAGGCCGAGCGCCGTGGCATCGCGCTGCTCGCAGCGCTGTGAGGCGCCGAGAACCCCCAAAACTCGCGAGACCTCGATACTAACAAAGACTACGAAACTGGGGGTAAAAAAAATCGATCGCGCAGATCCGGCCCGCTGTGTGCGCTTCTTAGCTCCCCGGCCCTGGATGTGAGGTTACTGACTGCACTCCAAGTGCTCCAAGTGCTCACGGCGGAGGGCCTTACCAACCACGCGCTTTATTGCCCTAGCCTTGGCGGAGGTGGTTGGTGATGGATGGTGGTGGTGATGGGGTGGTGGTGGTGGTGGTGGTGAGTTTGAGAGCGCGAGCGAGTGAGCGAGTGAGTCCGCGTGCGCCTCGCCCTCGGCGTGGAACATGCGCTGCCCGGCGCACGGCGTGATGAAGAAGGGGAGCGCCGCCTCCACGCCCAGAATCCGGGTCGAGAGGTCGAGGTCTGCGTGGCCGATCCCGTGAAGGCAAGCGTGCCGCAGCTCGACGTTCGGCGATTCACATTCATGCGGGAGCGAATCGTGATTACCCCAGTGTGTGGGTGTGAACAAGAATGTGCCACCCTGAGAACGAGCTGATACCGCCGCACGGAGAGGGCTGGATTCGGGACAAGGGCTTGGTTTCTGGGATCTAGCTTGGTTTGGGCCCCATCACATGGGCCGAGGAGACCGGTCTGCCCACCCACTCACCACACAAGGAGGACCGAATGATAAACAAATAATAAAGGGAGATGTGTACACACTCAAATGGGATACAAAATCTATAGTCCAACCCCGCCGGGCACCGCCTCGGGATACAAAATCTATAGCTGCGGGCCTCACAGCTCACAGCTCACAGCTCACAGCTCACAACATTCACAGCACACAAATCGCTCAATGGCACAGTCGCGGCAGCAAAGGGGCAAAAACGCTACACGCACACAGAGAGGCACAGGTAGTAACGCAGAGGAGTCTACATACCATGGTACACCCCTGTGCCGGATCGGCATAACTAAGCCAGCCCACCGGCCGAGTCGAACAAGTAGTGCGTGTCCCGCTCAACCTCACTCAAACTACCATTCGCCCCCACGGCGTCTCTGGAGGCTCCGAAACTAAAGGACGTGCTGCGCCGCTTCGCGCAGCCTAGACACTGCCCATTCCGGCGCCCCGGGCGGTAGCTGGTATTCTCGCTTCGGCGGGGATGTATTCTCGCTTCGGCGCCGTGACCTCATGCAAGCACATGCCGAAGCAAGCACATGCCGAAGCACATCCGCGGCGCGCCGAGTCACCGACTAAGAGCCTCCAGTTGGCGCGGTACAAGAACATGTCCAGGAGGTCGGAACCAGAGCTTTGCAAGTGTTCGCGTTTGCAAGTCGCGCCGACGTCGACCGCTTCAATTGCCGTGAGTACGGCATCCGGGATCGTATCGAGAGCCGCCACCGCCTCATCGGTGCTGAGCGCGCCATCGCTCCCGGAGAAGACCGACAGCTCGACGACGCACGCACGCTTGTCCTTCCCCGTCGTGTCCATTCCGCAGCCGTCGTTGGCGTAGGTTGCGAGAGCTTCGCACAGGTCGTCGACGGAGACCGAGGGATTGGGGGCGAATCCGACAACGGCGGGCAGTGAGAGCTGCAGCAGACCGATTCGTGCCAGCATATACCCAGGGGAGGCGGCGGACGGAGACGGAGGAGCGGGAAGCGGCGGACAGGAGAGGAGAGTTGAGGCCGTCGGCGTACAACCACGGAGAGGAGGCAGAGATCCCTAGCCTCCATTCCCCCCTCGGACCCCCCTTGGACGCGTCCTCGCACAAGGCGAAAAAGAAATAGATGTGGCATGCCTGCCAGGAAGAAGAAACGGACTGACCGACAAAAAAAGAAACATCCCTCGACCCAGCTTTGCTCTTCGGAAGCGCCGGACTCAGGCACACCCCCTTTGCTGCCACTCAAAATCGTTGGGTCGCTTCAGTTCACGAAGTCCCCCCATGGGCCGTTGTTTGAGAGAGAGAGATTTTTAGAAGCCATCGGCAGCTTGCGCACTACCACGGGAGTTCTTTCTTGTTGTTTGTGTATGCATCCGATTGTGGATTGAGAAACCGAGAGTTGTCGTAAAACGCGGGCGAAAGCAAGCAGAGCTAGGGCGGGCGCTTTTTGCCGCAACGATGCCCGCAGCCTGTCGAGCAGCTTCCGCGGCGCCCATGCGCCGCGGGGTTGACCGACGGCCGCGCCTCTCGAGCCACCCGTGCCACGCGCGGCGACGCGCACCCTGCGCGCCAGTCGGCGCACTGGCAGTACTGCACCAGCGGGTGATGCTCTGATAAACCCTCCGGATCTTCGACAAAGGTCGGATATTTCTTTTTTCAAAGTGCAAGGTGTGAATAAGAGGTTTATGATAGGGCTACTACGACGAACTATGCGGCAATCGACTGGGCGCCTGGCGCCCGACCACCCCCGCGCAAAGACCTCGTAGTAGCCCTCCCCGTAACCGACTTGGCCGGACTTGTCCAGGCCGCTGTCGCCGCGCAGATCGGCGCGAGCAGTCGCTCGAGGGGCTCTACTGGCTGGCGGTGCTCAAGGGGAAGGCGTACACGCTGGCCGAGGACACGGTCGTCAACACCGACACCATCCCCGCGGGCTATCTCGTGGTCAGGGCGCAGTGGCTCAGGCTCGAGCAACGCGAGTGCGAGGGCAAGCTTCGCTCCTACACGCTGCTCGAGGCCGAGACGCTCATCATCGTGAATCACATGGTGCGGCTGGCGGGCTTGCGCTTCTCGCCCGGCCCGGGCGGCCCTGCGGACCGCCAGCTGAGGAGCGCGCGCGAGAAGCTCTATTATATTGGCCGACAGACGCATTACTCGCTCGAGGCGTGCTGCAGTGAAGACCAGTCTTATTGAACTTGTTTGGAGGCGTCGATTTGTGCAAAAATGTGTGTTAGAGAGCGCTAGATGGCAAAATTTTCTTCGCCTCCGGCGGGGCCGCTCGCCGCGGGGCTAGAGTCCTAGAGAGTGACTTTTGTCGATGTCGGCTAGAAGTGCTGCACGTTTTTCAGAATTTCACCCCAGCCAGCACGGCCTGAAGCAATGTACCGAAGGGCATTGTGTTGGGCACCAGCCAGCATGCCTCAGCACAGAGTGGCGCAAAGAGGCAGCGTCGCGCATGCTTTTCCGAAACGTTCTCCGTCTACTCGAAGTAGTTTTTGGAGCACTTGGAGCACTTGGAGTGCAGTCATCAACCTCATCACATCCAGGGCCGGGGAGCTAAGGAGCGCACCCAGCGGGCCGGATGATCGGTATCGGGTTACGGGCTAGAGAGCCCTAGCCCCGGGGGTTTTTGCACCGCTTTTTTTGTGGTTTTTGCGAGCTTCACCCTGGGCGCTGGGGGCGGAGTCGGGGCCCAAGTGATTCGGCCTATCGCCTCGGCAAGGTCCTCGGTGCGATTCTCCACGGTGTCGTCGAGCGAAAGCGCGGTAGCCGCGGAGGTGATGACGTCGACATCGGTGGAATCGGCTGGGTCAACGTCTGTCGATACCTCTTTTTTTTATTACCAAAGGGAGGGCTACAAGGCCCTCTACGCTGGGGTGCCGGCGCCCTACTGGGCGCCCCCCACTCCCTTCCCCTTAGAGCCCCCCATCCCGCTTAGCCATACCTCTTTCACTTGTTGGATGTGTCGCGCCCTGCGCGCTCGGCGTGAAGATCGCGCTCTAGGCTGTCACCACTGGGGTTTGCCCTGCCAGTTCCTGCCCTCATGGCGCTCGAGCGGGTGGATGTTGACGTCCTCATGCCCACGCCGCCCCCGCTGCCGGAGGGCGGCGTGCAGCTCAAGTTGCCGCTGTCGCTGCTCGGGCTCCGCGGGCTCAACAACCTCGGCCAGACGTGCTTCATGAATTGCATCCTCCAGATCCTCGTGCACTGCCCGCCGGTCGCTCGCTTCTTCCTCTCGGACCGCCACAACCGGCACGTCTGCCAGATGCGGCGGCGGCAGGCGCAGAGCGACAGCGGCGGCGACGGCCCCCTCAAGCCGTGCCTCGGCTGCGAGATGGACGCCATCTTTGCGGCGTGCTTCTCCGGCACGCAGGCGCCGCTGTCGCCGCACACGTTCATCCACGCGATGTGGTGCTCGTCGGAGCACTTTGCCGGCTACGAGCAGCACGACGCGCACGAGTTCCTCGTCGCCCTCCTCGCCGGCATCTACAGCGCCATGCGCCAGCCGTCCTGCCTGCCGCCGCCGCCGCCGGTGCCGGTGCGCGACACCTCCGAGACAGTTCCGACGCCTGCCCCGAAACTCCCGCCCGCCAGACACGCACACCCCCCCTCTCCCCCGCCTCGCACACGCGCCTGCCGCCGCCGCGCGTGTCGCACCACACCGCCCCTCCTCCTGCCTCACCGGACACCGCCTATTGGTCGGTGGCGGCCCCATGACTTGCTTGCTAGCGACTTGCTGCTAGCCACACGGCACAACAGCTCTGGCACAACAGCTCTGTCTTGAAAGCCGCCGAAAGCCGCCGCTGTCGCCCCTGCCGCCGGCTGCACCGCCCCCCGCCTCCCGACTCCACCGCCTCCTCCCCTCGCCGCCGCGCTCACCACCACCACCTCCGCCGCCGCGCTCACCACCACCACCACCTCCGCCGCCGCCCTCGCCACCACCACCCTCGTCGCCGCCCGCGCCACCACCACCCTCGCCGCCGCCCGCGCCACCACCACCCTCGCCGCCGCCCGCGCCACCGCCACCCTCGTCGCCGCCCGCGCCGCAACCACAGGCGCCGCTGCATCCCGGACCCGCGTCGCTGACGCGCCCGCCGTCGCTCGGCGAGTCGCGCGGCGGGCAGTGTCTAGGAAGTGTCTAGGAAGTGTCTCTGAAGTGTCTCGGAAGTGTCTAGGCGAGTCGCGCGGCGGGCAGCCCGCCGGCAAGGCGTGCGAGGAGATGTCCTCCATCTTTGCGGGAGTCCTCCGCTCCGAGGTGAGACACTTCCGAGACACTTCCGAGACACTTCGGAGACACTTCGGAGACACTTCCGAGACACGTCCGAGACACTTCGGAGACACGTCGGAGACACTTCGGAGACACTTCAGAGACACTTCGGAGACACTTCAGAGACACTTCAGAGACACTTCGGAGACACTTCAGAGACGCTTCTCTTGCAGCCTCCCTCGCCGCCCTCCCGCCTCCGCCCGCCCTCTGCCAGCCGTGCACTCCGCCGCCGTCACGTCCGCGACATGTCCGCGACATGTCCGCGACACGTCCGCGACATGTCCGCGACATGTCCGCGACACGTCCGCGACACGTCCGCGACACGTCCGCGACACGTCCGCAGGTGCGGTGCGAGGTCTGCGGACACCGCTCGACAAAGCTAGAGGCGCAACAGTAGCCCGCCCGCCGCCGCACAGCACCTGCGCAGTCTCCTCCAGCCGCCTCATATTGACCTCGCACGGGCTGGCGTAGGCCCGCCTGCGCCGAGCACCTGTACGACTTGTTTGGCATCGCCGGCCACCTCGGCGCGATGCAAAACGGCCACTACCCCGCCTACATCCGACGGCGCGCGCCGC